CCCAGCACCCTCCCGACCCCCAACTACCCCAGTTCCCCGGCCTCCAGACCCCTGGGCCCCCAGCGCCCCTCCGGTCCCCTGGCCTCCAGCGCTCCGAGCCCCCCAGTTCCCCCCCGATCCCCCGGCCTTCAGTGCCCCCAACCCACCGGCCACCAGCTCCCGGCCCCCCCGGCCTCTCAGCCCCTCCCCGGTACCCTGGCCCCCAGCACCCCTGGCCTGTCAGCCCCCTCCCAGCCCCTAGCATCCTCCAGTCCCCCCAGTGCCTGGCGCCTCCCGGCCCCCCCAGCCTCTCAGCCCTCCCCGGCCCCCCTGGCCTCTCAGCTCTCCCCAGCCCACAGTGCCCGCCCAGCTCTCCCCAGCCCCCCCAAACTCCCAGCCTTCCCTAGAGGCCCCACACCTCCCAATGTCCCCAGCTCTGCCCAGGGCTCCCCAGTGCCCCCAGCACCCCATAACCCTCCGCACAGCCCCCTGCACCACCAGACATCCCAGCCTCCCTATATCCCTGGCACCCCCCATCTTCCCACAGGCCTCCCCCAATAAACCTAGCCCTCCTCAACCCCCCCAGGACCAGCCCCATGGCTCCTGCACCCCCCATCAGCCTGTCGCCCGGCTCTGGGACCGTCCCTGGGGGACCCCTTCCCTGCGCCACCCCCTGGGGCTCACGTCACTGGGGTCAGCCCCGCCCCTGGGCTGACCCTTGGAGCCTGCAGCCCCCTGGGCCAGGCCGGGAGCCCCCTGCAGCGCGTTCCCCTGGGTGGGACATTGGGGGGGGACTCACCCCCCCAGTGGGAGCCGTGACCCCACCCCCGAGGCGGGTTCTTGGGGGTCCGGACACAGCGTTGAACGCCCGGAGTGACCCCGGAGAAGGGAAATTACAGCACAGTCCAGCTGGGGCGGCCCTGCCCCTCTCCCCCGTGAGACCCTGTCCAGCCAACCCCCGCCCCTCCCAGCCCTTCGTCCTCCAGCTGCTCACCCCGCCCGGTGTCCTGCGGAGGGCCGGCCCCGGTACCAAGTGTCTGGGCCATCATCTTCTGGGACCCCACCCCTGGGACCCCCAGGGAAACCTCCCACCCCTGGGACCCCCGGGGAAACCCCCTACCCCTGGGAACCCCAGGGAGAGCCTGTCACGGGGCGATGCTCTGGACCTGCTCCCCACAAAGCCAGGCAGGGCTCTGGTGAAGTCTCCTCTCCCTCGGAGCAGACCGTCTCCAGGGCACGGAGCTCACACGGCTTCACCCCCTGGGTCTGACCCCGGAGCATCCAGCCTCCCCTGCCCCACTTCTCCCATCCCGGGCCAAAGGTGTCACCTGGTCACACCCCCGTCCCGGGTCTCCGGTTACACAGGTGCAACACCCCCCCCCACTAATTCCCACCCTCGAGATATGGATGCAGCACACAGGGAAACTGAGGCACGGCCTGTATTAGTACGGGACAGTAAGACTCATATGCAATATAACAAGATGAAGAAACCCCCCCTTGGCCCCAGAGCCCTGCCTCACTAGGACCCCGGAGACCCGGAGACCCAGGCCTGGAGCTCTGGGTCTGGGCAGAAAACACCCCCCCACACACCTAGTAACCAGGCACCACATCGGGAAACCGAGGCACACACAGTAGTCATCCAAAATATAAAAGATTCCCACTTTGTCACCCCCACCCCGCTGAGCCCCATGGGCCCCCAGCTCCGCAGTCAGCCCATGGCCCCTTCCTGCTCCCACCCAGCCTGTGCCCTCTCCGCAGATCGGCGTGTGGCACTCGAACAGGACGCTGGCCATGAACACCACCACGCTGGCCATGGACGTCTCCGAGAGCCTGGCGAACAAGACCCTGATTGTCACCACCATCCTGGTGAGCCCGGCACGGGGGGTGGGGTCTGCGGGAAGCCCAAGGGTGGGGCGGGGGGCTGCCTCCGGACTATCTGGGGAAGCTCACAGCGCCGCAGGGCTCCGCTGGGGAAGCTCGCAGGGCACTGTACGGGGAAGCTCACAGCGCCACAGGGCTCCGCTGGGGAAGCTCGCAGGGCACTGTGCGGGGAAGCTCACAGCGCCGCAGGGTACCGCTGGGGAAGCTCGCAGGGCACTGTGCGGGGAAGCTCACAGAGCTGCAGGGCACCGCTGGGGAAGCTCGCAGGGCACTGTGCGGGGAAGCTCACAGCGCCACAGGGCACCGCTGGGGAAGCTCGCAGGGCACTGTACGGGGAAGCTGACAGCGCCACAGGGCACCGCTGGGGAAGCTCGCAGGGCACTGTACGGGGAAGCTG